TTGCAGTCCTGGTTTCTGTGGGGAATTCTGCCAGCAAGGCTGTTGTTTGGGCGCCCGCTCCGTGGAGGGTGCTGGGCAGGGTTCTGGCTCACCTTGACCCGGTCTCCCCTCGGGAACAGAGCGCCGACGTGCTTGTTGAATGATTCTCGCCGCAGCTTCCCAGAAGGGGTAACGTCCAGCTTACAGAGTTGGAATCTGAGTTCCCAGGAGGCTAAAATGCTGCCCCTGAGGTCACACAGGTAGTAAGTGGGACCAGGTCTGACTGAATTCCAGGCATTCAGTGGCTCCTCCACGTAGTGTCCCTCAGCGTCAGCCTCCTGTCCCTGAAACCCAGAAGAGCAGCTTGTCATTGCTGTTGCAGACCTCACATCAGACACCTCTCAACCTCATGCAAGGGCTGAAAATAGCCATTAAGTGTTGAGAGAAGAGTAACGGGAATCTGGGAAATCTTAGACTCTGTGTCATCCCTCTGTGCAGAAGAATTATTAGAGCTATTGGTTATTCTCATTTTCTCCCTTGCTTATGAGGTAGGATTACCCTTTCTTGTCCCATGTGGCGTTAGGCATGGCCATGTGGCTTGTTTTTTTTCCTAAAGAAGTAGCAGTGGAAGTAACCCCTGGGTCTTCCTGGCAGAAGTTCCAAGAGCCAGTGTGAAAAGCACCACGTTTGTACGCACCGCCTTGCACCTGTCCAGGCTCCAGGGGAGGTGGCCGTCCCTCTGTCTGGGCCCTGGGCTCCGAGTGACTGGTCAGCAGAGCCCCTGCTAGCTCAGCCTGGGTGAGGAGAATGTGCAGCAAATAACCTTCCGGGGGTGTCAGGCCACTGAGATTTTGAAACTATATCTGCCGCATTTTCTAGCTCATTGTGACTGATTCAACAAGTTAAAGAAAAAAATATACAAAGTGGAAATTCACCACGGATTTCCAGGAGGTAGAATGATTTTAAAAATAACTCTTTCAAGCTTCTTACAGGTGACTCTCTTCACACGTCTAAATACTGAAATGGAAAGCCTAAACGACAACTTTAATGCAGGAAGGTTTGGGGGCCAAAGCAGTATTAAATTCATGAGATGGCTAGATAACCATCTAGTTCTATGACATTATTATTTTTTCTTCTATATTGGAAACTTTGGTCTATCCAGAAACGTCTGTTCATCGTTCTTGCACTAAAGAAAATGGTCTGACGGGAAGGAAGGAGGACACCGCAGACAGTGACACCTTTATCCAGGCAGCACTGAGAACAATACAGCTCCCCTCTTCATTTCTGTGGCAAGAGGAGTGTGCGTTAAAGACAGAGCTTCTGTTACATTTAGTATCTTGTTTCTAGCCTGGAGTTGCTGGCATAACCTGGTTTAAATTCTGCTCTGCCTTGCAGTTACTCAGCTTAGTGTTTGAAAAGTCTTTGTGTCTTCGTGACAGCTTGCGCTTACCTATATCTCACGCTACAGACAATAAACTCAGTTTTTAGTGAACAAAGCCATGGTTTTAGAAACCGAGAGCTGTTGCAACTTGACAAGAGAAATTTTTCTGCATTTCCGCTGGAGTTGGAAGAAGATGAATGACGGTGGACATTGAGGAGTTGACTAGATTTCAGAAAATGTGGAAGAGTCAGAACATTGGTCATCTGCCATGAAGTTATGCTGCCTCGTTTCATCTCGGACCTGGCCTCATCTTTCGTTTGATATACTAATATTTGTTATGTTATTATTTAAACATTTCTCTGGCATAAACATCATCGAGGAAAAGAGAGGCATTGTCTTTTAAAGTAGGGTCAAATGGTGACACACTGTTTATTATTGGAAGTACCTTTATGCTTTTAATATATGAACAACAATTTTCCAATATGTTGGTCTTTTAAGATTAAACATGTATCAAATCATTTTTGTTATTTTAATATTCTCATCGAGAATATCAGAACTAATATCAACTTTAGAGATGACCTGGTTCTAGTTCGGGAGTCCTTCTTAGAGAGGAATCTTGTCCAAACATTATCTGCCATGGTATCCAGTATGCAATGCAGATCCTTAAAATGATAAAATTTTATAATGTCAGACATACTTATTATAGGGTCAGTTACTGAAGGGGAAAATACAATTTTGAACAACAGAAAGACTTCATTTAAAAGGGCCTTGGGCTTCACTTTGTATTTTGTTTCGTTTGGCAAGTATTTGAAAATACTGAATTACATGGTACGTAGCTGCAAGTGTAACCATTTTTATGAGTGTGTTTTACAAGGTTCACTCTGAATCCTTAGGAGACTTCATTTTAAAGGACCACAGAAAAGTTAATTTAGTAGCATAAGTTAATGAAATGTAAAACTGTTGAGCTTGAGTGTTATTATTATTATTTTTGTCTAGCTTTAAGGTAATTAAAGAAAATCAAATAGAAAATTTACAGAATCCCTAAACTGCACAGAACAGCAGTTGAACAGTACTGATTATACTCCATGTAACACTATCTCTGTAGAGTGGCAGTACTGTTCTGGTTGGTTGTACTATTTTTTTTTTTTTAAAGCAATTGTCAAATATTGGAGAAAAATGTGAAAGTATCTTTCACTAGAAAGGATTAGGTTAGCATGAGTAAATACTCATTAAAAAATAAATTGTGGTCTGATTGGTATGGCTCAGTGGTTGAGCATCGACCCATGCACCAAGAGGTCGCTGGTTCAATTCTCAGTCAGGACACATGCCCAGGTTGTGGGCCCGATCCCCAATGGGGGGCATGCAGGAGGCAGCCAGTCGATGTTCTCTCTCATCAATGTTTCTATCTCTCTCTCCTTCTCCCTTCCCTTCTCTCTCCAAAAAAAAACCAATAAAGGAAAAAAAATTCTTAAAAAAAAAATAATAAAATAAATAAATAAATAAATAAATAGTGTTCTGGAAGTTTCAGAAATTCATTTTAGACTCCCATTTTACACTATCTTAAGAGTGGTTGCCAACCCAGTCAACAAATTATTTATCCCATAAGTGACTGAAGTAATAATATTTAGCTATCTTTGATTTCATATGCACTTTTAAATTAGCTTGGCATTCTTTTATTTACTTTTATCCTCATCCAAGGATATGTTTATCGATTTTAGAGTGAGGAATGGGGAGAGAGAGAGAGAGAAACATCAATCGGTTGCCTCCCATATGCGCCCCAACTGGGGATCGAATCCACAACCTTTTGGTGTACGCGATGGTGCTCCATTCACCTGAGCCACCCGGCCAGGGCTAGCTGAGCATTCTAAAAGATCCTCATGGCTATTTCCAAGGGATTTTTAGAAATCTGATTTGTAGCCCTGGATTGGAAACTTTCTGCTCCCACTGTGTGGTAGCAAAGAAGAGTGAGGGGTTTTTTCGTTTTTTGTTTTCAATCCTCACCCCAGGATATTTTTCCATTTATCATCAGATAGAGTGGGAGGGAGGGAGAGAGAGGAAGAGAGAGAGAGAGGAGAGAGAGAAACATTGATTGGTTGCCTCCCGCATGACCCAACCAGGGCTGGGGACCAAACCGCAACCGAGGTACTTTTCCTTTGGCCGGAATCGAACCCGTGATTCCGCAGGCTGATGTTCTGTTCTAACTGCTGAGCCAAAGTGGCCAGTGTGAGTGAGTGTTTTTATTCCCTGGTTAGAGAATTTTTATTCGTGCACGAAAGCACCTACTGTCCCCACTTTGAAGAAGAGTCATAGATCTTAGTGTTAGAAAGGAATACTGTAGATGCCCTACTTTGGTTCTGTGCCTTTATGTGCGTGGTTTTGTAAAGCTGTGCAAAGAGGAAACTCTTCCAAAAGCAAACACATTTTGCACTGCCGTAGCAAGCTGGATATTTAAAGCAACACTGTGGCAAATGCTTTTGCAAGGCAAATACTCCTTGAAGACAATGCCCAGTCTCTAAGCAGCCAGTGGCCCCAGTCTCCCTGTGATACAGGGCACATGAACCCTAGTTACCTTCCACTCGGTGGTGCCAGGCATTCCTCTGTGGACTGGCAGGCATTTCAGACTGCTTCTGGCTTCATATTAAATTCCACACAGTGATTATAGGCTGTTTGGCACCAACGTTAAATTGAGAACTAAAAATGTAAGCATTATCACCAGTGATTTTTCATGCCACTTCCAACTGACTCGTCTTGGAAACCAGCATAGTATGAAGATTGCTTGTGGTTTTGTATTTTAAAATTTTTTTTCTTAATTTTTAGAGAGAGGAAGGGGGAGAGAGAAAGAAACAAACATCCATTGGCTGCCTCCTGTCCGGCCCCTACTGGGGATGGAGCCCACAACCCGGGCATGTGCCCTGACTGGGAATCAAACCAGCAACCTTTTGGTAGACAGGTCAAAGCCCAACCAACTGAGCCACGTGGGCCAGGGCTGCTTGTGGTTTTGTGTTTTGTTATTTGTTTTTTAATTAATTTTTTATTTTTTTTCTTTCTTGATTTTAGAGAGAGAGGAAGGGAGAGGGGGAGAGTTAGAAACATCAATGAGAGAGAACATCGATTAGCTGCCTCCTGCATCCCCCTCACTGGGGATCAGGCCCACAACCTGGGCATGTGCTCTGACCAGGAATTGAACCGGCAACCTCTTGGTGCATGGGTCGATGCTCAACCACTGAGTCACCCCTGCTGGGCTGCTTATGGTTTTTAATGTGGAATTACAGAAACAAGTGTCGTGTGTATAAAACTATAGTAAGTAAGACCCTGGGTTCAAATTCTGAATCCACTGCTTACTTGTATAACACTGCAGAGGAACTAATTTAATGACCTAACCTTGACGTAGAGGGTGGGTGTGAGGTCCGAAGGTAGTCCCTGTAAAGTATGTGAACGTGGCATGTCGTGTATGTAGCAGGTGTTCTACTGATTCTTAGTCATTTTTATCATCCTTTTCATTGTTAATATTATTACTATTTTGAAGTCTTATTATGCCTAGGGAAGTGTTAGCAGAAAAGGTAAACGAAGAGACGTAAAGAAATTCAAGTTTCTGATGCCCTTTCTCCGTGCCCCCCCCCCCCCCCCCCGCCCTCTGCAGACTGTGATAAGCTGCGGCGGGACGGCTACCGGAGCTCCCAGTGCTACTCCCAGGGACCCACCTTCGCCAGCTCTGGTCTGCCCTGCGATGAGTATCAGGATGAGGATGAAGAAACAGATCAGAAGGTAAGGCTTCTCCGTTCAGCATGGGGTCCTGGATTGAATTCCAGAACGGAAAAAGGACGTAAGTGGGAAAACTGGTGAAATCAGAACAAAGTCTATTTTTCAGTTTAACAGTGTTATCCCAGGGTAATGTCTTAGTTTTGACAAGGGTCCCATGCTGTGCAACACACCAGCGTCGGGGCGACTGGGTGAAGGAATTCTCAGTACTGCCTTCCTCATTTTTCTCTACGTCTAGAATTAGTCTAAAAAAAGAGGAAGTTCCTGATCCAAAGAAGTTATTAAAGGAGCATAATTAATATATTTGTGTATTTTGAATATTCTCTTTTGGGTAAAACAAATAAAATATCTTATTTCTGTTGTTTTGTTTTCACGTGACCAAGAACCTAAGTATAACAACAAAAAGACATGGTTTCACAAGGGGGCAGGGTTGTTAGTAGACCCAGAATAAGCAGTGATTTTGCTTCATGTTACAGCACTGGTCAGTCCTTTCATGTGCTTTCCGGTCTGCGTTCCTTTTTCTCCTACCTTCTCTTCCGATCTGTGCAAACTACGTAACACAGATCTATGTTCTCAGTACTAAATGCACATGAAAGAATATAAATGTATGGACATTTATAACTTACATAGTTTTCTTTTTCATTCTATTAAATAATGTTGACTGACACAAATGACTTAAATAAGTAAAGTTGGATGAACAGGGTTTGGTTTAGAAACCATTTTAAATTAACCTTAGAAATTTCCATGGAATTAGGCCAAAACATCAATATCTTATTGTTTGGATAACATTATTCAAAATTGATTATCCTTCTTCAAATAAGTAACATCAGAGAAAAGAGTAGACAATGGTTGTTAAAAAATAGGAAATTACTACGTTAAAGTTTTGGTTTTCTAATGCAGATTGGACCCAGGTTCTTATTACAGAATGATTTTCCCACTTCTTCTAAGGTGTTTTTACATTTTAGATTAGCCCTTTGATGCTAAAATATACAAAGAAAGTTTCTTATTATAATAGGAAAGCAGCTATTTCAAAGTTCATCTGGTCCTTCATTTTAAAAACTTATATTTTCTCTTGTTGGCATGAGTGAGAAAAATAAAAATCAGAAGATGAATTATATTGTGAGGATTTTGTTTTGGTTTAAAAAATTTTTTCAGGTTTATTTAAGTATAACTGAAAAAATTGTATATAGTGTGATGATTTGACATACGTATACTTTGTGAAGTGATCATCACACTCAGGTTAATTAACATATTCATCACCTCACATAGTTACCGGTGTGAGATGAGAGCACTTAAGGTCTATTCTCTCAGCAATTTCAAGTACACAACACAGTAATATTAACTGTATTCACCGTGCTGTACATTAGATCCCAAAGAGCTTACTCATCTGAAACTGAAGGCTTGTATCCTTTGAGCAGCACCTGTCCATCTCCTTCACCTGTGAACTTTTGAAAATCCAGACATACTCCAGCCTTTCGGTTGTGCTCAGGGAAGGAGGAGCATTCAGTTTGCAGTGGGACCCAGAGAGACTGGTGGTGCCCGGGCGCAGCCTTGTGAGTAACCAGGAGGACACAGAGTCCCCGGGTGGCAAATCGGCATTACCAAGACCATGTTCCGAGATCTTCTGGAAAATAGAAACATAGTTTCTAAATTCTGACATAGCTATTTACTTACCAGGATGCTCAAATCTGAGGGCAGTTCAGTCTCTGTGAACGAGTTTCTACTCTTAGTGCATTGCCACGGACCCCTGCAAGCAGCCCTCTCCGAAACCTGGGAGGGTGTGGACAAGTCATTGCCCCTTAGAAAACCAGCTCCTGCCTGGCCGGTGTGGCTCAGTGGTTGAGCATCAACCCATGCACCAAGAGGTCGCCAGCTCAGTTCCCAGTCAGGGCACATGCCCAGGTTGTGGGCCAAATCCCCAGTGCGGGGCATGCAGGAGGCGGCCAGTGGATGTTCTCTCTCGTCGATGTTTCTAACTCTCTCTCCCTTTCACTCTCTAAAAGCGATAAAGGGGGAAAAAAGTAGAAAACAAGGCCCCTGTTAGGTTGAAAATGAGTCAGAGATAATGGTCATGTACATATACACAACACTCACACACACATGTATGTCATCCTTCATGATATACCTTAGTGTATCTCTTCTCAGCCTTATGGCTAAGATCAAGCGGAGGTATCTGTTCTTATTGGTTTAACATCTGATACGTCTCTATCCAAGGGGAACATGTTAAGTGGATTTTTGGAGCAGGGGGGTGGAAAGGCGCTCGCTCTGTCCACCCCACACATGGACCCGGTGTTGCACTATCTTGGGGACAAAAATAAAAGTACCTTAGTGTGATTTAGTAGCACTGGGACCACTAGAGTAGGAAACAGATGATGATTTCGGGACCTTCTGTCCCCTCTTGGGACCGCCTGCCCCTTCTGTAAACTGAGTCCTGGGCAGTGTGCAGCAGGGAGAGCGGTTTCCCGAGCTGCCCACCGACCTCCTGGAGTTACAGGCTGTCACAGTGGCTGGACTCACAGCCTTCGTATACCAAGGGCAACTTTTTTTTCTTAAGTATATAGAACCAAGTTGAATTATGTTTATTTGTTTGTTTGTTTGTTTATTTTTATCCTCACCCAAGGACATTTTCCCATCTTTTTGTTCAGGTAGAGTGGGAGGGAGAGAGAGGAACAGAGAGAGAGAGAGAGAAACATCGACGTGAAAGGAACACATCGAGTGGCTGCCACCCGCACGACCAACCAGGGACAAACTGCAACCGAGGTACGTGCCCTTAGCGGGAACCGAACCCGGGTCTCTCTGGACCGCAGGTCGACGCTCTAACTGCTGAGCCAAACCAGCCAGGGCCCAAGTTGAATTATGTTTAAAAAAAATTATAAATCATCAGACCCAAATGTCTTCTCAAAATAGTGTCTGCTGTGAAATTTGTTTCAGAATAAAATAGATATCAAATCATATAATGTATTAATTCATTATAAAGACTATATATTCATTAAAAATCTACTAACAAATGTTAACTCATCATATTAACTTCCTTCCATTCTTCTCTCTCTCTCCCTTCCTCTGGTCCTTGTCTCTGCTACTTGACATCATTCACTGTTGTATCAGCTTTGGCACTGTCTTGGTTTCATGGAGCATCAAAAATATCACTTGCCATACCACTGCGACATATCTAATTTAATGGTCTTGGAGCACATTGTACTTTTTTAAAACCCCATAATAATTGGATTAATTGCAGTGCTCTCCAACAAAGAATATGCTTTTCTTCTTCTTCTTCTTAACTATATAAAGTTAGCAAGACCTAGTGCTGCTTTCACTGACTAAGGTCTCGAAACTGGAATGGAGATGCACACTTGCATGTCCTTGTGCTTCTCTGCTGTTTCCTCTGAGTCCCTCGCGTTAACTCGTGCTGAGTGTCTTCAGGTCCAACTGAAGGTTCATGTATGTGCACCCCCACAGTGCCTAGTGGGTGATTGGCTGCTTAGACAGCTCATTTCTTCAACAATCATCTGCTGAACAGTTACTACTAAGTAAACATGCACCCTGACTCAGAAGTCTCGTAAATCTTTGTGACCCTCACTGCCATTCACCATTTCACGATGTTACGCAGATGCTTCCAAGCGGTGCAGCCATGAGTGTTCGTCATTTGGAAGCAGACATGTTGCTTTATCTCTCTCAATGTGTCTTCAACAGAACAACTTGAAGCACAGAATTGCAATACATTTTTAACACAAGTTTTTACTGAGCACCTCCTGTGTGCCGGGGACTATCCTAGGTGGTGGTGAGACACCAAGAGTAAATGAGCAGTGATGTTGCCTTAGAAAGGGACGTGCTCTGCAGTGAAATAAAGCAGAATAAGACACAGGGGAGGTTGCAACTTTAAATTAAAGGGTAGGCCTTCCTGAGCAAAGAGGTGATTGGGATTAAAAGTGAGCCCTGCAGAAATCTTGGAGAACATTCTAGGAAGAAGAAGCAGTCAGTGCAATAAATGTTTCTTAAGAGTATATGCTATGTTCCAGATTCGACAACATGCAAAAATTAATACCTCTACTTGCCTCGGAACTCACAGCTCTCAGGCAGGGAGAACTAGTCAGAATGGAAAGTTTTATATACAGGCACACCTTGTGTTTTTGTGCTTTGCAGATACTGCATTTTTTTAAACAAACCCGCCTCAGGCAAGTCTATCGGCACCATTTTTTCAAGCAGTTGCTCACTTTGCGTCTCTGTGTCACATTTTGGCAATTCTTACAGTATTTGAAACTTTATTAATATTATTATTACATTTGTTTTATGATCTGTTATCAGTGATTTTTGATGTTACTTGACCAAGACCCTCCACCAACAAAAGATTATGACTCACTGAAGACTCAGGTAATGGCTAGAATTTTTTAGCAATAAAATATTTTTTTAATTAAGGTATGTGCATTGTTTGTTTTTTCTTTTTTAAAAGAAATAATGCTATTGCACAGTTAATAGACTACATAATAGTGAAAACATAACCTTTTTTATTATTATGTTTTTATTTTTATTTTATTTTTTTTTAGAGTGAGGGGAAGGGAGCGAGAGATAGAAACATCCATTGGCTGCCTCCTACACGCCCCCTGCTGGAGATCGTGCCCACAACCTGGGCCTGTGCCCTGATAGGAATCGAACCAGGACCTCTCAGTCCATGGGACAATGCTCAATCCACTGAGCCACACTGGCCAGGCAGGCCATCACCTTTACTTGCACTAGGAAACCAAAAAAATCATGTGACTCGCCTTATTGTGATATTCACTTTATTTTTGTGGTCTGGAACTGAACCCTCCCTATGTCCAGGGTATGACTGTATTTTACATGCAACAATAAGTAGTTGTCATGTGGTAACGTGTGAAAGAGAAGTTCTTCTGACTTGAACAGTCAGGAAATGGGGGGAGGTTTGGAAGAGGGTAAAATATTTAAGAAGAATAGTTTTAGGGCTATTGTAACAGGCAGGACATAATAAGGACCAAAAGTGGCTGTGTGACTGGTGAGGAAGGGCAGTGAAGAGACGGTGGCACCCTAGGAGTTAGGAGACAAGTTTCGAGTCTCTGTTCTGCCACTTCCTTTGGAAGCACCACGTGGCCCTTCAAGGCGTTCATTTCCTTATCTCGACAGTGGGAGCGGAATAGGGTTTCACTCTAAGATCTTTTGAACAGGCTGTTTATTCATTCATTTACTCAATAAATATTTATTTAGCATTTCCAATATGCCAAGCATCATTGTAAGTCCTGAGAACCCTTCAAGTGAAAACCAAAAACAAGTCCTTTCGTCAGAGGGAAAATGATGGTAAACCAGCAGTGTAACACGACACCAGGTGGTGGTGAGTGGTACGGAGAGAAGTGGGACAGTGGTCAGGAGGGTCATAGAGTGATGGACGCGGCTGCTGTTTTTGATTGCGTGTTCAAGAAGGACCCTCTGAGGGTGCCATTAGGGCAGACCTCGGAGAGCAGTGTAGAAAACCACCTGCGAACATCTTCGGGAAGAGTTTTCTAGAAAGAAGAGACAGTAAGTACGAAGGCCTGGAGATAGTTACATGGTTACCCTGTGGAAGGAATAGCCAGGGGCCTGAGTGGCCGGCAGTGAACAAGGGAAGAGCAGTGATAATGACTTTGGGGAGATAAAAGGGTCAAATCACATGGAACCCAGACAGCCACAGCCAGGACGTTGGAGTTGCTGCTCCTGGCTGAGAAGTTGAGGCCCCGGCGTCACGGAGATGGGAAATGGCACGATCTGATGTACTACTGAATGCAGTTTGTCTGCCCGCTGTCTGGAAACAAGACTGTGGAGCAGCGGTTCTCAACCTGTGGGTCGAGACCCTTTCACAGGGGTCGTCTAAGACACAACAGTAGCAAAATTACAGTTATGAAGTAGCAATGAAAATAATTTTATGGCTGGGGGTCATCACAACATGAGCAACTGTATTAAAGGGTCGCGGCATCGGAAGGTTGAGAACCACTGCTGTCGAGAGTGGAAGGTGGAAGCAGAGGCAGGTCAATGAGCTATTGCAGTAATCCAGGCAAAACACAGGTGGGGGTGGAGACCCGGGTGGCAGTGGTAGAGATTCTGGCTTTATTTTGAAAGTAGATCCTACAGAACCTGCTGATGTTTTACGACAAAGCCAAGTCAAGGCTGATTTCATCTACTATCTTCCCAGCCTCATCCCTCTGGAATCCCGTCACACCAATGATGTGATGCCATGAGAAGCTCAGATCCTATGACTCTACCCTCTTCACCTCCAGTCCTCCCACAGCTTATATTATAAGTGACCACCTTCGTGGTCACTTCTTTGTACACACATTCAACTCTGCTGCCCCTCTCTCCTGCCATTTTCCTGGAGAAATCCCAACCCCAGTTTGATCCAACTCTCCCCTGCTCTGCACTAAAGCCTTACCAGCTAAACAAGGCTAGAAGAATAACACCAGGTCATTAGCTAGTCTCACTGTAAATCTGGGACCTCAAACCTAAAGTGCTGCCCAGCAGTCCTACTATGGTAGCTCATCAATGGACCCTTCCGCTGTCCCGTTATTTTTGCTCCTTCTTCCCCAGCCTTCAAACACCACTTGCTTTGCTTCACGCTCAGATACCGTCTCAGATACTTGACCGCACCAGGGGGAAACAGTCAGAAGGCACATTCTTTCACAACCAAACCTGTTAAACTGCTTGCATCTGTTCCTAATCGACTCCCCCTTTCCTGCCTTTGCAGTGGGTGACCCGTCCTTGCTTATGTCCAGCCCTGGTTTACCCCAAGTGCCTAGATTAGGGCCTGGCACACGTAGGCCCTCAAGATTTTTCCAGTGGAGTGATTATTGCTAAACTCTCAAGGGCTTCATCCCTGCAATTTACCTCTCTCTTTTGCCTAATCCATTTTCTCTCTCTATTGTATCCTAACCATCATTATATAAATTAAACATGCTCTATTTTCTTACATCTTGAAGAAACCCTCCTTTGGCCTTTTATCCCCCTCTAAATTCTGCCACATTGTCCAGTTCCTCTTTGTAATAGACCTTCTCCAAAGACCTGTCTAGACTTGCTGTCAACATTGCCTCTCCTTCGAACCCCTTCAGACACACTGTTATCCCCAGCACGCTACCGAAGCTACTCTTGTCAAGTTCCCCCGTCACCTCTACCTTGCCAAATCTGGTGGTTGATTTTCAGGCCGCCTCTTACGCAGCCTCTCAGCAGCATTTGACATAGTTTATTATTCTTTTCCGCTTAAAATACTTTCTTTACTTGACTTTCGTGAGACCATGTACCCCTGGTTTTCCCCCTCCCTCACTGGCTAGTCATTGCTTTTCAGTTTTGCTG